TATTTGAAGTTTTGCGTGTGAAACAAATTGGAAAATGATCACTTATTGACAACTGAGGGATAGTAATTTCAGAAATATTATGAGGGAAATTTGTATATAGGTGATCTATTATGGTCTTTGATGTTTTAGTTACTCTGGTGGGTTCTTCAACAACCTGCTTTAAGTTGAAACTGTTAGTAATATTATTCCAACAAGTGTTGTTAGTAGATAGTGTTAGTGGATCATAATTATAGTTGAAATCTCCAGTTAAAATAATTTCCTTGTTTTCAATATATATCTTATCTAATATTTGTTCTAAATCCAAGTTCCAGTTTGCAGGTGATGATGGGGGTCTGTAAATATATCCTAATATAAACGTTTTTTGTTGATTGTTCTTGATTTCAAGCCAGATGGCTTCAATGTTCTCTTTTTGTAAATCACTCCGCGGAAAACAAGAAAAATTTTCATTAACATATAATATAAGTCCACCCCCATTTGTTTTCCTGTCCATTCGAAACATTTGATATCCTTTAAACTGGAATTCATTATCTGAGAAGCTGTCATTTAAAAATGTTTCACAAAGTCCAATAATGTCTAGATAAGAATGAGTATGCAACAACATTTTTAATTCATCCAGTTTAGGATACAGATAATGTATATTAAGATGGAGAAATTTCATTCCTTGTTTGGATAAAAAGTTGGGTTCTTTAAAGCTAGAAGGGCTGGTTTGGTCTATAGTGTAATTATCTGTTTTATCATTATTTTTGTATTTGTTTTCAAAATTAACACTATCAATATTAAAATAATTGGTATTTGAAGATTCTTTATTGTCTGGAAGGACTGTGTGCATATTTGTTTGCTGTTCTAGTAAGAAGACACTCTGATTGTTTTCTATCTTTGAAGGGGTGGGTATCTGTACATCCATGGTGGTAAGTTCCATGCCCCAGGTGGGTGATGGAAGTGTTGAAAGCCCCAGGGGATGTTTGGTCTCTTGTAGTGTTGGTACCGTGGTGTTCTGTATGAGTGGCTGGCTTGACGAAAATTTCCTTGGGTGTTCCTTTGGTTGATGTTGAGTATTATAACAGTACAAATTGCTTTCAAGCAAAGGAAGAATGAACCTGACCAAAAGTTTAATACTAATGAAAACACCATAAAAACCTTTCAGACAGCATTTAAATATATAGATATGCAAAAGAAAATAAGTACATTTTTGTAATTAAATGACTTTGAATAATATGAACACTATTAATTTTGTGTATAATGTTGTGTTCTTTACTCTCACAGTACACTTAACTGACAGTCAACCCTCCAATTTCAACATACATCTTAATATGTAACCAACTGGATTGGTGTTTTACACAAGTAAAGAGCCTGACCAGCCTACACACTCTAGACTGTAGGTGGTTGATACTGAAATCCCTTATACTGTGAATGGACTGTTCCTTCTTTAAAGCTGGGCTAACCCAAATACAGAAATTCATCAGGTTAAAGGTTAACAAATCTGGTATCATGGTAATTAAAGTTCTCTTTGAGTTGTGAATTTGATTGCCTCATAGATCTGCATTTAATGACACATTGAAGTGACTGCCAATGCAATTGAAGCAATGACTCAAGTCAGTGAACAATGGTTTAATCACAATCATGTCTGGCTGCAAGTACCTGCCATATTGAGATCAATCACGCATTTATTTCAAGTTAACATGCTGGTGCTGACACAACATCACAACTATAGCCCATAATTCCTACTTAGTTCTGAAGGGTGAGTATTCAAGTTTTAGTACTCACTAAACTCAAAGTTGCAAGTTCAAGTCCTTGGACATTCATATTTATAATGGTTTCCTTTGATGTTTATGTTTAGTGATGTATAGAAAAAGATTTTGAAATGCAACTCTGCATCTACAACACCAATTTCATGAAACAATTCATACTGATCAAGTATTTTTTGGTGCCCTGTAACAGTTTCAAAACAATTACTTATTACACTATTTCCAGAACCATTGTTTGCTGAACTGTTGCTTTCTAGACAGGGTTTTATGTGAAAGTCAAAATATTACTTTTTTACATTTTGCTACTTTTATGACAAATAATTTCAAAGCTCCAAAAATGTCTCAAACCATTATTTGAACATTATAAACCTCATGTTTACCCTTTTTAAAAGATTAGGCAATTTCAATTGTTTCTTAGGCATATGCCTTATGCTGAAAATTTGTCATGTAACATTAGATGACTAGTATATGTGAGTGAGTGGGCATTTAGATTTAACCACCATCTTCAAAATCTTTCTTTTCAAAAGCATTCCTTCATAATGGATAAAATGAGTTAAATTTACTCTAGTGAAAAATGTATAATAGTCACAAACCCATGGTATGCTTTGAACAAAAACATGCTACACTTCTTACAACTATCTCTAGCTATTGTTTAAGGACCTGTTATCATTGAAATAGTTGACTTAACCTCTTTTAAGTGTCTGTCAAGTTATGACAATACTTTCGTTAGCAATTTTTTTATGGTATAAACAATAAACTTTGGAGATTTTCAAGTTTACACCAAGTGCCTCAATCAAACAGTGACTATATGTTTATGAATGAAAGGAAGAATACATTGAAATTCAAGCTGATAATTCTGTATTTATGAAGAGTCATTGACAGGATAAGATTGTTTTGTCCCAATATCTTTTGTATGAATGAAGATTATGCACATGTCAAATGCAATCTATGGTAGTATTATAGGGTGAATGGCAAATGTTCATATATTATGGTTGTGGAGCTAAATACGAAAATGACACTTGGTTGAATTTATATCAAATAAGTAACAGACTTCATTTAGAGTAATTTCATGCAAAGACAATATGGCAATTTTATTATTGATTTCATTACAGCTGTTAAAAAGATATGAAATGACATAACAGAATAAAATCTGCCCTATATATTTATTAAAATGGGGCGGATCAATCACTGAATATCACCTTGCCGACAATTGAAGAGCTTAATGTTTTACATAGTACCTAATGATGGTACAACTTCAATTTTCAAAATCATATTAAACATGGAGGATTGTCACTAAATTGACAACTCTGGAATCTTATCACTTCTATATTCTCCAATGACAGCTTGTTATCTGTAATGATTCAAAATATCTTAACAAATACTAATGCAAACACAATGTGCTGGAAAGGGGTGTTTATAGGAATTTGGTTAAACCATCTAATTATTTATTATAACAGATTGGGTTGTGAATTGCAAAAGTGACTAGTATGACAAGGGGTTAAAAGTGACCTTAGGACTTGCTCTCCTCACTTAAGTCTACTTAATGTTTGTTACTGCTGACAATTTTTATATTCTTTAATGAGGGGCCCAGTTGGAGTGGGTGGGTGGTGTTACTGTCAACATACTGACACACTGACAATGTAAATAGTAACTTTTGAGCGTTACTGGATGAAGAATACTTCACATGCATCGATCACTATGCAGTCTACTGGATACAAGGTGACACGTCAAATTATACACAGTAACATCCAAATTCATAAAGCTTTTAGCCAGATAGGGTCTTCACATAAAAGATTTCAAAGTCATTCTTATAATTATTTACCAACAATGGTGAGGGGTAGATCCTCACAGAGAAATTCCGCCTCATTCATGGATCGAACCAGCAACCACTGGTTTACAAATCCGATGCTTTTAAGCTAAGCAGACAGAGTATGAATAGTGCTATGTTTTGAGCATATATTATATTAACATTATTGTCACTATCAAATTACTAGGATTACAAAAAAAATTCAAAAATGAAAATTATAGCTTCTCCGATTTTGTTGTAAGCAATTCCTTAATTTATGGCCATTTATAACACAGTTTTTGCTGACTCCACAAAATTGTAAAGTTAACCTGTGGTTATCTAAATAATTTGGCTATTTGTATTGTAACAATAGACAGGCCTGGATAATTGACATAATTACTAACAGTGAAAGTTTACCATTATTATAGTACATGCTGGAAGGGTAACTAACTATATGTATCACAAATACAAACAAGAGAGGGGAAAATACTTGATAAACCAAGCAAGTCATGTTTTATGACCAATATTAAAGGTTGGTATTTATCTATAGATTGTAAGATGATACAAGATGGGACTAATATAAATCCAAGTTGAAAGAGAAATCTTCATGTTTATATGGCAAATATTAACCTCTTCATAAATCCACTTCAATAACTTCCTATTGTTCACTTTTACATACAGATATATCTATCAAAATGGTAACATCTGTTATACACTGCTGTTTAACTGTATTAACCATAATTTTTAAGACCATTATAAAGTAATGTAACAGTGTATTATTAGTACACTTAATTTTACTTCATACATAATCAATATAAAATTTATCATCCAATTTTACTTCATACATATTATACAAATTATCATCCAATTTTACTTCATACATATTATACAAATTATCATTCAATAGCATCAATGATAATAAATGGGGTGTCCTTCTTTTCATATATATATAAATATACCCCAAGTCATTCCAGTTTTTTCAGTGTCAATTGAATAAAGAACTGCTTATGATGCCACAGTAAATAAATGTCCCTGTACAAAAGCAAAAACAAAACAAACAGGCCCTGGGCTCGGCATTAGCACTTTTGAAGTTCTACATGCAAAAAACTCAATAAGTAAAAGGCTCTTACCATGTATAATATTAGTAAAACATTATTGCTTCATAGATATTATATGGGTATATGTCATTAATTCTAACCCTGATTAAGTTTCAAATAAGGAATCATCTAACATTTCACACTAAGAAATAAACAGAATTAAAAAAATCTTTGACAATGATCAGATTTTCAAGACCAATATATACATGCAAACATTTAAATACCAAGTATATTTAGAACATATATATCTCTTTTTTTTTTTTTAAAGTGAAAGAAAGTATGCCAGTAAAGTCTTAAAGTGTTGTCTCAATATTATGAGGAGGGTTCAAATGGTTAAGATTTGCAGAAATAATAGTGTGATATTTTGGCCACTTAGGTGACTTAAGTACATAAATTTAGCTGAATTTAAAATTCAAAACTACGTAAAAAGCCACTGCTAACACAGAATACATGTGATCTTTGAATACACTTACCGGCATCTTCTTGTATCTTAAGCTTCCACTTCTTTTCAAAGTTCCCCCTTTAACTACATCTTCTTGAATTTCTACCGATGAACCATCCACAGTGGGTCTTACTGAAAGCTCTACAAGCTCTGGAATTGGCTGAACTTTAAGAACTACTGTGTCTCCAGTCTTCTTTATCATTTCTATAATCTCCTCTCTTGGAGTATGCTCTACATTTACACCATTCACTTCAATTAACCTGTCCCCTGGTATAAGTCCTGTCTGTGAACTACTTTGACCGGCACCAGGTTCAGCAAATATTACAGTCTGTTTAACATCCTTGCCTTCACTACCTTTTTGAGTGATTGAACCTTTTCTTAAAGTAAATCCAAACCCACCACTTTTACTTCTATTTATTACTAATTCCCTCACTCTTGGAGGTTTGCTTGGAATTATATCAGGAAGTTTTAAAGCAGCTTGAAATGTTTTCTCTGGGGGAGGTTCATCAGGTGGTGGGGGTGGAGTAAACTCTGGAGGTCTGTCTTTTATTTGTCCTTTAGAACCCCTGTCAGCTGCCTTGGCTTTCTCATTATCCACTGGATGTCCAGACATTTCAACATTATATAAAGTATTGGATTTCAAAGTGGCACTATCATCAAGGTTTTGTGAAACATTCTGTCTGTCGCCTTTGGATTTCAAAATACTTTTTGGTTTAGGGAGGATTGGTGGTCCAGTTCTTTGCAGCATATCTCCACTACCGCTGTTTTCACGTCCTGGACTTAGCCTGCCTGCACTTCCTAAACTTGTGCTACTGTCACTGTCTCTCTGGAGGAAACCGCCATCATCATCATCAGGTGACAATCCATCCTTCTTTTTGTCACTCTTTCTCTTAAATACTCCTCTTTTTATTTCTTCTAACCTATTGAGTTCCTCTGGTGTAGTGTGTTCTCTATGTTTGTCCTTTTTCTCTTTTTCTTTTTTCTCCTTTTTCTCTTTTTTCTTTTCTTCTTTTTCCTTCCTATGCTCTTTATCCTTTTTCATAAAGTTGAACATTTTAATGTATATGGAAGTCCCTGAAAAGAAAAAAATCCTTCAGTCATGAAGTTGTTACATCAGCTTCTGTACAATGAGAGTAACAAAGTCTGAAATTTACTATTATGAATGTATGCCCTAGCATTCATGGCATGACTGAAGTGCAAAATTCCTTGCTATATATTTTAAATTGTGTCAAAATATGTATTATCCTGACACCGAAAATCAGTGAATCTTACTTACTTACTAATACTATCCTGATTTGTTTTTAATTTTGAAACTGTGCAAGACTTTCTTTTTAAATGTTTTTTAAGTGGAAGTTTATCTCAGTCTAAAAAGAATGCGGTATTATGAAATAAATAATTTTATGATTTCTTTTCGGTATAATTATTCAATACCACATTTCAGTTGCCGATACCTGCTACATGCAGTTTATACGCAGATTATTCTGCTGGTGGTGAATGGATACAAAGTCAAAGATGGCCCTGGTTCTATGACATGTTTCGTTAAAAACATCAATGCATAGGACTCCAGAATTTGGCTATATCCTGAATAAGACCAGGGGTATCAAATAGTAAATTTACATATTGACCGTAAATATCATGAAATACTTAACCTAATAAACTGATAAAAGATCCAGTCTCAATTTGGCTCAAAATGATGAAATTTTACATTGAAAACAGTATGCTGAAATGTATTTTAAATAATTTCCACAAAATATAACAATCTTTCCTTGACCCAAAGAAAAACACTTTCAGCAGAAATCTGTATCCGACAGAAACTTACTTTGTACTTAAAGTTAAACCCCACCCACCCACTGTTTAGCTACCGGAATTAGCTTCCGGTTTGTAAACAATCATGTAAACAAATTTTGCAAGTAAACCTTCACGTGAATTTGCATGTAACAATTCGTTTCTTAAATAATTTATGATTGCAAAATCTTTCTGATATATTCAATAAGTAGTTTACCTTTTATTATCGAAAAGCTTGACGAAAGCAGAAACGCTTCTTCCAAAATTGATTTTTAGGTGTCTTGTGAAATTTGCCTTTTCGTGATATTTAAAAACCGTAAAACCAGCATTATTAGCGAGTTGCATTTTGAGCATAATATACTCCCATTGAGCTTTATTAGTCCCCTACCGGTTTACCGGAGGGGACTTTAGGTTTACCCTCCGTCCGTCTGTCCGTCCGTCTGTCCGTCCGTCCGTCTGTCTGTCAGTCCGTCAGTCCATCCGTCCACAAAACTGGATCCCGCGATAACTTGAAAAGTACTGAAAATATTTTTATGAAACTTGATAGATCTCTATATGGATAGATGGCAGTATGGAGATTATGCACGTCTTTTTCTTTTCTTCCTATGTTGAAAATTATGGTTGCTATGGCAACAAATAGGCTGAAAATATGGCAAATTTTACACATAAACTGGATCCAGTGATAACGCAAAAAGTACCGGAAATATTTTTATGAAACTTGATAATTATATGGATAGATGGCAGTATGGAGATTATGCACGTCTTTTTCTTTTCTTCCTATGTTGAAAATTCTGGTTGCTATGGCAACAAATAGGCTGAAAATATGGCAAATTTTACACATAAACTGGATCCAGTGATAACGCAAGAAGTACTGGAAATATTTTTATGAAACTTGATATATGGATAGATGGCAGTCTTGAGATTATGCACGTCTTTTTCTTTTCTTAATATGTTGAAAATTGTGGTTGCTATGGCAACAAATATGCTGAAAATATGGCAATTTTTACACATAAACTGGATCCAGTGTTAACGCAAAAAGTAATAGAAATATTTTTATGAAATTTGTAATATGTGTAGATGGCAGTCTGGAGATTATACACGTCTTTTTCTTTTCTTCCTATGTTGAAAATTCTGGTTGCTATGGCAACACATAGACTGAAAATATGGCAAATTTTACACATAAACTGAATCCAGTGGTAACTCAAAAAGTACTGGAAATATTTTTATGAAACTTGACATATGGGTAGATGGCAATCTTGAGATTATGCAGGTCTTATCAGTTCCCCCTATTTTGAAAAAATGTTGGTTGCCTTGGCAACAAATAGGCTTAAAACATGGCAAATATAACAATATTTGTGACTAGTCAAAAAGAGCTGAAACTTTTTATGAAATTGCATCTTTAATTCCAGAGTTATCTCCTCTTTAAGAATTTTGCTTTTTAAAATGCTATATTTTGGTAACAGGGATGTTTCAAATATTAACTTTAGAGTGTCCTACAGTTCGTCTGTCTGTCTGTGCATAAAAACTTTTTCCTGTGATCACTTTTAAAGAACATTTCCAACAAATTTACTTAAAATAGAGAAAAATTTACACATTAGTGAATGGCCAATGGCCCTTCAGAATGCTGATGGGGTTCTATCCGGTAGGGGACTTATGAATTGCTTGCAATACTATGATAATTGCTTGTTCTCTAATATTATACTACTGTTGCTATGCAATAGAAAATCATTAAGGAATGCATCATAACATGACAATGCTCAAGTAGGCCTATGCAGTCTGTCCCAACTTATAGACAAATGTAGCTTTTTCTAGAGATTGTCAAACTCCAGAAAAACTGAGACAAAAATAATGTATTATTTTAGTTCCTGATGAAAAGAATGAAATCAATGCTCGCCATATGCCAAAATTAGTTCATATATCATGTGAAGATTTTGTGCAAGAGATGTAGGTGTTATCTGTGCTATTTTATCTTCATGTTTCTGACTTAAAACACGAATATCATTTATCCTAAGAATGCGCAAAGGACGATAACTCGTCAGAGTCCGTATTTTGTTGTCTCCCTTTTGATCACGTGAGGCAATAGTTTTCAGGTTAACAGTTTATTTATATTATGGTTTGTATTTGATATCCATTAAGTATACATCGTCTTCGCATATGACCATAACATATTCATCCCCAAAATCAAGCTTTTCTTCTATTCCGTCGACGACAACACTCTGTTACTTTGTTTATCAATCGTCTGGTACATAGTACCACTTCGCCAGGGGTCTGTGGCGAAGTGGTATTCTGTACCAGACGAATGATAAATAAAGTAAACACGTGCTGAAATTCTGGAATATTATATTTTTAAGCTGTGAGCTCCCTTTGATTAAAAAATGCTCTTATTGCATATTTTTTTGACACAGAAAGTCATTGACGACTCCGGGACCCTATTGACTAGTCTGGATTACCTGCCCTTTGTCTATTTGTTTACAATAGAAGCTGGGAACCAGACTACCTATTGACGAGTTACCGTTACCGCAATGTCTGTACTTTTCTTAATGTATTCTTCTCAATCCTAATAACAGTAACTATGATATGAATGAAAAGGCACTATATACCCAAATTTCTTTGTTGTTAGATGTCTATATTATCGTAGCCTTTAACAAACAATACTTAAATTTGACAATTTCAACGTTAAGTCTGACTACATGTACATTCCTTGGAGCATTGGTGACGCAAATAATATGACAGTACACCTAAAAGGTTGCCCAGTGGCATCGAAGAGGTAGCATAAGAAGTTGATAGTGTGCTTTCTACATGCTTGAATTCTTCAGACAACCAGTGTTTTATGTTTGATGACATCAACTTTGTAGTAGATGAAGACGAGTCATCGACATTTGCTAGTGTAGACTAGAGCCTCAACCAGTCATCAATGATGTTGAGATAGTTGATGTAATGGTGCAAAATGCCCCCCCCCCCCCCACCTCCGAACTGGTTTTGGCCGCTGTAAAGATGACACTTGCACAAAGAAAAAGGTGTTACCATGAATGTTTGAACTTTCATATTGACTCGCAAGATGACAGAACCTATCAAACATGGAAAGTCTTGAAGGAAAACGTTGTTGATCTCGGATCAATTGAACAAGAAAATGAAATACTTTTCGCTAGGAAACTAGAAAGGGTTGTCTCTGAAAGCACGACGGCCATGTCATGTATACAGCAAGAGACGATTAAATTTCACCCACTCGTGAAAGCAGGGCTTTTTTCAGAAGATCTTCCAAATGTCTTGATCACGCCAACTTTTGATGCTATGTGCAAAACTGCTCCCGACAATAAAGGGGAAAAGAAAGCGTGGAGTCTAACGACCAATGAAGTCGAAGAAGAACTGATTGAAAATGATAACATAAAAAGTAAAAGGAAGAAAAGTCCAGAAATAACAAGCTGAAAAGGATAGAAGGAAAGGTACCATTAGAGGCAAAAAAGAAGAGATACGTAAAAGAAAGACATAAGGCTGAACATAAAACAGGAAAGAGAAAAAAATCAAGCAAGAGAAAGAAATTGTCAAGAAAAGCAAAACGAGTGAAGCGAAAGTTGTCTGACTCAGAATGTAACATAAATGACACAAAGGCATCAACTCATTTTGATGATTTAGTTATATACATGTATATTATTGCTGCATTTACCACTGCCATAAGTGTTATAGAAAAGCAGAGGAAGTAACTGAGGACAAAGGTGCTCAGACAATGGAATTTACATTTAGTAGAAACATAGAAAATATAAATTCAAATTGGATTATTCAGGACTGATACATGCCTAATGTAGATGGAAATGAAAGCTTGTACATAATTTAGTATTATGAATGTTCAACAAAAGCTTAATGTTATGGTGGCATAGAAGATGCATACATATTGTTAACATTATTCCAATATCTTGGCTACCGTATATTTATCTTGTGATCACGAGGTATTATATCGTTGATCGAACATATTTTCTGCGTGACCACTAGATAAATGATAATTATACCGTAACATGTTGATGTTGTTTAACGCATTATATATCAATTTCGATCATTAAAATGCGTTTGCTTACTCTTAATAGGTTTTATTTTGAGATATTTTTAAAACATAAAGCAATTTACGAGTTAAGGGTCATACTGATGATTTAATGTTATACTGGTACTGACGAGTTATGGATGTTGGACCCTTTAACTCGTCACCATTACACCTACCTCATTTAGAGGGCATTTATGACAAGTTTCTTCAAGAAATTAGACTATGCAAGGTTTGAAAAGGTACAGAAAGGGTGCAGGTTTGTTTTAGACAAAATATGAAATAAATATTTGTCACTTTCCCCGTTTGGAGCCAAATATGTAAGCAAAAGCGACGAGACTTATGGTTCTTTTACGTTATTAATAATAATAATAAGTAAATAAGTAAAAATGATAATAATTTAATAACAAAATAATATCTATTATTTCTCCACTTCTCCAGAGACACAGATCTACCTCTCTGACTAGTCATAATAACACTATCATATAGTTTGAGTGCTTCTAAGAAAAACATCTTATCTAACTAATTTAACAACATGCCAGTAAATTGTACTTATCAATGGACATTGCGATTCTGATCCAAAACAAGAGAATTTCAAAATCTTCTGAATATCTACAGTTTATGCAAAATGGCTTTAATTTTTTTTAAAGCAAGAGCAGTTTGATTTTTTTCTTTTCCCCAATCGTCAAAACCCTGTATGGGAAAGTATTAAGCATAACGCTTAAAACTTAAAATAGATATTTAACTAATATTCGTCGAAAAGGAATATTACCGCCAATCGGATATGAACCAACCACCTCAAGATTAGGAGTCTGCCAATACTACTCTACGTCTTTTTTCAGAGCATGTTACATGTCTTATGGTCCAGATGAATACCCTTTTGTTGGTGTGATTAAGAACTCAAAACATTAAAATAGTATTTTCTAAATGTTGCTGCTCCTTTAGGGCAATTAAAGCAGAAAAACTATAAAATATTTGTTACAATATTTAAAAATTTGTTTGTTTGTTTGTTTGTGTGTTTGTTTTAGGTATGAATTGGATTATGTTCTCCCGACACTATGATATAAATTTCTTTCTTTCCTGCTTTACTGGTGGAGCTGTATTACTGGCAGAGGCAGCATTGTCTCAGATTGTAACACCTAAGTTGTTACCATTGACTTACTAGTATTATGGATATTTATCTGCAAGTAATCAGGATTATTTTAAGTTCCGTAATTCAGAGGTGGTCGTGAGTCAAATTTTTGCGTAAGTTTGGTGGCACAAAGGTGACAATGTGTGTTTTTATATATCTTGTGCGCACGAGATACCATATCGTGGCCACGAGTTACTAAGTCGTGGGAACGATATACTATGATGTGGCAACGAGTTAATAAGTCGTGCTCAGGAGATAATTAAGTCATATGCACGAGGTACTATATGTTGTTGTCACGAGTTACTAAGTCGTGGCACGAGATAAATAAGTCGCAGAATTCAAACAAGCAGTTATGATTTGAAGTCACGGATCTTAACCACTTGACTATATATAATGGAAATCCTTGATATGAATTTAAGCGAAATCATAAAATGATTGAAGTATTTAGTACATAATAATATCTCGAATGGCGGGGTTGTCGTTGTAAAACCTTGTCTATTATAACTTATATTCATATTTTCGAAATTGTGTTGTTACTCTGTTCATCAACCATGGTAACTTACCGGAGACCTAAAATTACAAGTGAAAGCATTTGCAAATAGTTCTAATCCGCCTACTTGTATAGAACTACTGCGCATACATGTATTCTTTATGTAACAATTATACTTTCATATTTTAAAACGTTCTTTTCATTCGATCACACCATGCTCCAATATCTATTGTGTAAATTTAGCCAGAATTGAAAGGCGTATAGGAAAACAAATCGCACACAACAAATTCTCTTTAAAATGACCACAACCAATGACTTTTAAATATAATTCTGAGTATATTCCTTCATTTTAATTTTTTTTTACCTTCGTAGAAATCCATTAAATTCACTTTTGTGGTTACTGTTCCATGTGTGTTATTTTTTAGTTTGAAGTTTTAGTGGCGCTCGTGTAGTGGCGTAAATGACACACGGGTAACGTCACAAACAAATTCAAAGTACTTGTCTTTGATTGTCTGTACTGTCAACAGATTTTGTGCAATCACCACTTTTTATTTGTTGGGACGAAGAAGTAAACATTTTTTTAAAAAACATTAATCAGTTGAATAGATCTAGGTGTTGAAATAAAAATTAAATTCAAAACGTTGTCACGAGTATAGCTACCTCATGCCTTAAATGATAAAGACTATAGGTTTCATGTACGTTTACATTAAACATTATCTTTTTCAAGGGGTGCTGCATATTAAATTACATTATTTATACACTTGGCAGCAAAAGCTATTCCAATCTATATACCAAATCCAATGTCAGGGTCCTAGTCTATTGTTCTGTGGACCAATCCAGATCAGACACACTAAATTCTGGGACAATCCCTGAAATTTGGACAGCCCCAGTCATATGGGACAAAATGTCATATAAGTTATTGATGTAAAGCCATGTGAAATAAGGTCAGAAATGAAATAACAATGCTCTCTTCACTAAAGTTTTATTCACTGTTATCTACATAACGTTTTATCTAAATAGCTATTATAAATATTTCCTAGAACGGACATGTATCTTAACAACATAATTATAAATACAATATAATTATATATACAGTACCACTTTTCTATCTTTTGCTGAAAATCTAGCAATCATTTAACTGCTTATTTCATTTTTTATTATAATATTCTTTAAACAGACAAAACTGACCTCTACCTTCAGCATAAATAAAGTTCAAAAAGAATAATTTTCAAATCTAGAGCCTGCTTGCATTGTCATCTATGATATATATTTCTCTTTAAATACATATCCATAACATTATGTTAATCTTGAACAATGTCTTTTTCAAGATCCTCCATGACATCATAATAAACTTACATGTACATGTAGAGATCTTGTTAATTTAAGCTTTACTCTAAGTATGTATAACATTGGTATATCCTGAATGGTAAATGAATAAATGTTATACATGTAAATGTACAATTATAAATGTCTCATTTAAAAAAATGCTCAATACAAAATGTGAGCACACTGGTAAATAAATCATTTGTTTACTTTCAACAACAAACTCATTGCACAATTTTTGCGTAACATTTACTAATAAATCTAGTAATCACAATTTGTAAAAATTCCTTTTAATAAAATAATTACCAAATAAACAATGTTAAATATTGCAAATTAATAACCACTTGTACAAAAGTTTCTTTACAAAATATTAAGACATTGTATAAATTTAAATAAAAGTGAACACATTCAGATTTCAAAACTGGAAAAAAGTTGAACAATAACAACAAAGTTTTAATTAATATCTCAACTATTTATTGTATTTCTAAGTCTTCATGATAACTTTCTGTCACTAACTTCAAATCTGAACAACAAATGATTGGAAACTGTCAGTCTATTTTTAGTTATAAATTTCTAAAAGATATCTTAAATTTTCCAAATGTTGAATTCTTGTATTGTGTAAATCTTGAAGACAGGAACCGGTAGATTAAAAATTGCTCATGTTTTACCAGGTGTAAGACATTTGTTCTTCATCATTTCTATCTTTTTTAAGATTTAAAAAAAACCCAACTAAAATCAAGAAAGGTATACATGTATATTAAAAGTTTTAGAAATGAATAAGCATTCACAATTAAGTGAAACTTTGCATGTTTGTTAGTATTAACTAATTTCATCATCAAATTTCTACTCTGCTACTAATGGAGTAAGGGCTTATTCTGCCATTTCCACACATTAACATTTAATTTCTATAGATAATAAATTCAGATGACTACGTTAATTCCTTCATTTAAATGAAACATAGCAAAAACAACAAATGTACATGAAATAAGCCATGATAGAGTTAACATAAAACTAATGCATAAAGCAAAATCCTTGTGATTAAAACCATGCTCTATACTTTATGACACCAAAATGATATGCACAATTACTAAAGTAACTACATAATATTATACATGTAGTAGAAAATTACTAACATTATGATAGACTAATGCAAATACTTTAAATACAGGATCAACTAATAAAGAAACTGCTCAACAGAGACATAAAAACATCCCTAAAAAGGGACATAACCAAACTAAAATTAATCTGCACAGAATACTTCTATGATATGTACAGGAAATGTGTAATACTTGTAAAATAGAAAGTGAGAGAGTAAATTTTTCTTTGCAATCCAGATAGCAAACACATGTATAAAGAAGTTAAGTAACAAAATAATATTGATAGACATGACATGACAGATGCAATTGCATTTAATCCTGTCCCTTAAAATGAGAAAAATGAAATAATTTGGATCTGCAGATAGGACATTTCTTCATGGTCTCAAAGGCTCATATTAATATTATTGTTCTTTAACACCTTGAGTACAAATGGAGATAGTGACTTGTTGGTACCACCAGTATACAGCCCAGTCAGTCTGTACATTTGTGCAGTCTGACCAGACTCTATACTATTGTACCAGTAATTTTAAAACTATTTTTATTAAATAACAACTAAGGGTTTCCAAATTGAAAGCATTACAAGTCCATCACTCATCTCGTTTTGTCACAAAAACTTTCAATATCTGCTCATTGATTTCACAAAATAAACACTCTGACTTTAAAAATAATATATCACTCACACACAAAATAACAAGAGAAATTCAATCATTATTGCACTAAATGAACATACATGCCCCAACAAATATATCTAAACAATAATCAAACTGTCTTTAAGGGAATTCAAACATAGGGAGATCAGCTGGACACTTTCAATGTCATTTGTCCTAAGGAGGGGTACAACAATGTCAAGGTCATTTGTCCTGGGCAGGGGTACAACAATGTCAAGGACATTTTTCCTGGAGGTGGGTACAACAATGTCAAGGTCATTTGTCCTGGAGGGGGGGTACAACAATGTCAAGGTCATTTGTCCTGGAGGGGGGTACAACAATGTCAAGGTCATTTGTCCTGGGGGGGGTACAACAATGTCAAGGTCATTTGTCCTGGAGGGGGGGACAACAATGTCAAGGTCATTTGTCCTGGGCAGGGGTACAAACAATGTCAAGGTCATTTGTCCTGGAGGGGGGGGGGTACAACAATGTCAAGGTCATTTGTCCTGGAGGGGGGGGGTACAACAATGTCAAGGTCATTTGTCCTTAATTGATATGACAATGTAAAGAACATTAGCCCACTTTCAATCTTTTCAATCACTACCTTACATGCACCTTGTAGCATTATTTCAGGTAAGACATGAATCCAAAGTTCCTAGCAATTTTTTAATCTAAATTTTTTAGCACTCAGAATTAAATGAACTGAACATGCTTTATTCTCAAGGGATATAAAAATATTCATCTAATCAAAATGATTTTTTTTTTCAAATATATAAGTAAAAGTAATGCATATTGTATTTTCTCTGAAAAGAGGGTTCTATCATGTAACTTTTCTAGCATATACTGTAAAAGTAATTAGTTATTGAGTTTGGAAGGTAGCTAGCTTATTCAGACAGGCATTTGAAATTTAACACTAAACCTAGGCATATAATGTCATTTGTAACCAGTGGACCTTCTCCCTCAACTGCACAAGACTTTTAGGACCATTCAATTCTAAAGGACCCCACCCTGTGGGACGGCCAGATTGAACAATTTTCATTAAATGCCCTCGCACTGCGAGTAAGAAAAATGCCCCACTGTTTGTGCACATAAAAAAATTGCTGAAGTAACATACTAAGTGTAAAAACTCATTTTCCCCTGCTATTCCTCATGAGTTAAAACTGAATGATGCGCAACATATCCACAATATCAGTTATAATTATTTAACATAAATAATTATATAACATTTAACAACACATGTATACAGTTTGCTAATATAATAGCTACAACATTACAGCTCATAGAATTCAACCAGTATGTAACATACCAGGTAATTATAATACATTAATAAATATGTAAATGTTGTGACAGTTCATTACCTTATACTGAAAACATAGTAACTAACAAATAAATTGATTAAAACAATCTCTTTCCTTTCAGTAAAATACAAACCTCTAGATATAAATACCTCAAAAATTAAACATATATGAAAAATACAACAAAATTACAACATTTGTTATACCAACAGACACCTTTCAAAGTTGCTCTAAGAAAGTTAAACAAAAAATAATATTACAACACTGCTCTGAGAAAAAAGTTAACATTTAAAAATATCTTAATTTAGGACATGCATTTGACTCAAGACGTTTTCCTAGGTCAGGATCTAACAAAGTGCAGATGCACTCTGTGATATGTTCTAGTAATATCCATTAGAGGCAAATACAACAAATTAATCAAGATATCTTTAAAATAACTCCTTTATTTCATACTGTATGTCTTGGTAATTTAATCATGTTAGCACCAGTAACTTACTGACATTATGTCCGTAACATCATTTCAGATCAAACTTTTATAAAGGCAAATGTTTTTACTGCGAGACATTATTTCGCCATGTGATACCTGCAGGAAAAATAGTAAAATATGTACAGGTATATAATACAATTATCCAGCTAGAAACAACTGCATTAAAAGGGTAGTGTCCTGGCTGAGTGGTAAATGCATCTGACTAAAAATCTAAGGGTTGCTAGCCACATGGGCTCAAACCCTTTCAGAAACAAGCGGTTGTTCCCTTGAGCAAGAAACTTCACACTCACAGCTTAGTATTGATTGGTTCCAAAAAAGGATCAAAAAGTGTTTCTAAAAGCTAACAGCTTCAAACACAAACTAAAAAAGGGTCTATATAAACTAAACTTATTGCATTAAAAGTCACAATTTCCACCGTATATCAGCATCTCTTCCTCACTGTTGTCCGTCATCACATTCTCGGCTTGTTCCTCCTGCTCACGTACCCTTTTAATCCTTTGACGCCTTTTAAACTTCCGCCGTAGTCGTCTTTCCCATGTTAGTAAATACTTAGGTAAATATGGACGCTTTCTTTTCAGAATGTCTGCAATGCAATTTTAAGATGTCAAGTAGATGTTAAAGCCAGTATTATTGAAAAAAAACAAGTTTTTTGTTTGTTTACAATACGTCTCAATGAAAAAGAAATTACATGTACATGTGTAAAAAAAGGAGACTACAAATTCATTCCATGAAAGCTTATGAGAGTTAAAGTTTACAGGCAAGAATTAGTTTCAGCACTTGTTGGTAAGTTTTCCCTTTACAATTTGTCCTTCACAACTGACTAATAGGGTATTCTCTTAGACCAGCATTTTGATCCACTTTTTTATCAAATGACACATAAAATTATTAATAGCGGCACGGATTTATATTACATGTAAATCTGTGATAGCGGACACAATACTTAACAGTGGATACAATAAGAAACTGCCTATTGAAATGGAGGTCAATTTCAATAATACACAAGGATATTGGTACAATTGCAGTTTTAAATGATCTGCCAACAAAGGTATATTTGAACCCTTTGCCAATACAAATGTGCACATTTTACTGAAAGTGTATATAAACTAACTTCTGAGTCTGGAAACCAATCATGATACCGTATTTTACTATTAAAAAAGTTTATACCTAAAAATAAACCTAATTTCAGAACATTACTCTCTATGGTATAAGCCCAGATGATTTGAAAATGCTACAATGCACTTACCGTGTATATTCAGATAATGAACATTTTCATGAAAGTCGAGGTTTTCTCGTTCTTGTTTCATTGGTTTCATTCCACACAGTTTGACGGCCAGCATCATTACTATCAGCAGGAATGAAACACTCAACATTGCCCTCAATGGATCTTTCGAGCTACAATATAAGATATAAAAGTTGTTTTTTTAAAATTACTAAAATTACTGTTTGTTAAAATTTCAAATTGGTTTCCATCCTGCAGTGAGTTTTCACCCAAGACTATAATAAAGTAACTTTTCATTTTGAAACAAATCTAAATGCATGTTGATTACCCCTGCTTTGTGTTTGAACATGAAATTCATTTGCAAATGCATTTGTGAGAGTAAATTAATATTTTCATTGTTGTTGCTTAATGAGTGGCAGTTTTCCACTGGTTTGACACATACTTCCTGATCAAGAGGGCACAAGTTCAAGTCCTATCAATGACACAGCTAATTTCTTTGAGCAAGAAATCAGCTTTACATTGTTCCACTTCATCCCACAGTATTCAAGCAGACCTACTTCAAAGGGTGGAATAAATTACAAGACACCATTATTAGGGTTGTCAAAATTGAAAGACTCACCAAGTGGTTGACACATGCATTTTAGTCACCCTATTATCAGGAATATAAAGCTGTCAAGTTGGTGAGCATGCCTTGTGCATGACATTTACATGTAGAGTTAGGCTATAAAATGCATTACCTTTACATCATTTTAACATCTGCAATGACAACTGAAAATACTTACAATGTTTGCTCCATCATTGATACAAATTCTTCATACTCCTTTAGCTCCTGAAGTGCCAATTTCTCAAGATTTACTTTAGATGCATTGGAATCTTTTGATGAAATATTAAGAGGTATTGATTCTGTTCTTTGTTTAATATTTGTTCCTGTTTCCAGCTGCTTGATTTCAGAATCACTTCGGAATTTCCGCCTTCCAAGTTTAGCTGATTTTGGCACATTTTTTACATTTCGTTGTCTTACAACAGAACTTGATAAAAGTTTTCTGTTTCTAAACTTGATACTCCTATATACATCAGAATTTTTAACTTTATTTTCATGTTTTATTGTAAGATCACTATTTATCAAATAATACTGATGTAAAATGTGGTAACACTGTTTACTTCTATTTATAGACTTCCTAACTCTCAAACAGTGTTGTAAAACTCTTCTCTGTTTATACACAATATCATGATTTTTCTTCATTTCTTTACCCTTAGATAAAAATGTCTTTAAATGATTCCCTTCCACATCATTTTCAAGCTTCCCTTTATTTTTAAAAGATTTGAATATTAAGTTTTTTAGATGATATGGCTGAGATGGCCATTTTGAAAGGAATGGCATGGAGTTTTCAAGAATTCTTGGCTCAAAAGATAGAAAACTTTTTCCCAGGTTGTCATGTAACAATATGTCTTGGTTTGTATCAAAGTCTAATCTTGCTCCTATGTTTTCTGTCTCCTCCATTTTCTGTGAAGCAACCGCGGCATGACTGATCTGTTATTTAACATACAAATAATAATATATATTTATATTAAGACAAAAGAATACAATGTATGTTATTTTAATTAAAAATGTAAATAAATGCATGCATCAGCTAAATGTTACCCTTATCCACACAGGTGTTCGGCGCGTTGATTGGTCACTACCCCCTTTTCACCCACTCTACAACCCTCATACCTCTCAAAACCATGTAAACTGCAGTATTTCTCATTTTAAACATGTTTTAATATTTGGTATATGCTTTTAATTCAATTACCTTCATCTCCCACAAAAATTAAAAAAAAATGATATATAATAATAATATTATATATACAGTATATATAATTTTTTTATTTTTTGTGGGAGATAAAGGTAATTGAATTAAAAGCATATACCAAATATTAAAACATGTTTAAAATGAAAAATACTGCAGTTTACATGGTTTTTGAAGGGTAGAAGGGTTGTACAGACTAAGAGTGGGGGGGGGGGGAATTGGCCCGGGGGTAGTGAACAATCAACGCGCCGAACACCTGTGCTTATTCACCATCTACATTTGTACTTGGAATAGCAGGGATTTTGACTCTCAGAATAACAAATCCCCAGTAAAGGCACCATCAGGTGAACGTGAAAGTATCAAATGCCTGCCCTTATGGAATTGTAAATCTCTTCCTAAATGTCTCTGCCATAGAAAGTATGTAGTCAAACTATTCTCCCACGTTTCTCACCTTGCGGTTACTCCCTGAATGTTCTCTCCCTAATTTTTGGGAAAACTGTCTGCATATGTGCAGACTGTTCCACCACATATTTATTTGTATGAATAGAATAATTGATTGATAATAAATCAGATTATATAATCTTTGATTTATATGAATGAGAAAAATAATCTTTTGAACAGGTTTACTGAACAAAAACTTATATCAACTAATTTATAGCCTAAAATAAACATATCCGAAAGATGGTACATTATGGTGAGATCTTTATTTCATATTAAAAACTTACAAATATGAGGAGACAACGTGAAATCACAGAATGTTTGGTTAAACTCGCTGTCATTGCTTCAAGACATTGAAAATTATAATTCGCTTCATTTTGACGTGGATATTTCGATCAATTTTTGTATTTGATATCAGTGGCAAATTGTCATCAAGGGAGATAATACAAAGGCCCGTCCACTTTGGGACTAAACATATAGTCATTGACGGTAAGACTTTTCACAAAGGCATAAGGATACCTAACAAAAATGGACCTCTCCACGTGCCATCTCGACTTCTTGTCACAATGACATGTTTCTGCTTTTTGTGTATATATTGATGTCTTGTCAATGGCCCTTTTATGGCTTTAAAAGTACAAATGACAGTTTGTTCTTTTTCTTCTTTCTGACAAGTATATATAACACTTTCAATAAATCTGACTTTGAGACAAACAATATATAAGCATTTGAAAATAATCTTTATTTTTAGGGTTTATAAGAGTTTATATTATACATCATCGCGGCTGAATTGTTTTTGCCTTCTATAGGAGGGCCGTTTATAATATAATTTAAGTCTCCCTATGAAGAATTCTTCAGTTTCCCCCTAAAATTCAGTTTACAAGTTTAAAATGCCATGCTATTAATTTTTTTAATCAAAATTAAGGGAGGCCGGGCCCTCCAGTGTCTTTGAAAACAAGTCCCGATATTATGAATGCATCATCATTATAAATATTTAGAATGGCGTGTTCAAAATTACCGAATAAAGTATATTATTAACACTTTTGCATGTCTGAAATTTTGTGGGAAAAAATGGAGACACGTGTATTTTAAAATGTGCATCTAAAGCATTCTATTTCCCAGTGTCTCCAGATCCATTCCCAATGGCAAATATATGCTTGATTTAATAAAATTATTTTTTCCAATCTTAAAAAAAATACCAATCAAATTGAAGTTCCCGTCATCCAAACTGACAAAATTGCTGATCATTTCAGTATGATTCCAATGGAAAGATGTTTTCCCACATTTCATTGTCAAATTTTTATGTATTTTTACGCTTTGAATGATATTTGTATTGGGTGGAATAAACAATGTTGCACCATTCAAAATACTATGCCAAAAGAGCATGCATGATGTTTCAAAATGTACGAAATATTTTTCCCAATTAAGCGATTTTATGACGCAAAATTTCCGAAACTGTGCCAAGTATTTTCCTAAACTGAATAGGAAAATGCCTGATTAAGTGCACTAGAAGCCACCATTTAGCGTGCAGATTTCATTTTTTCCTGTGGAAGAACCCAGACCCACATCTCCAAGGACAAGAGATAAGAGCAATTTTATTGAATACATTTGTGCAACTACATATGTAGTGTGAGAATGATCTATGATGATACATTATACTTTAAAAATATTTAATTTATTTTGGATCATAAAAATAATAAATAAATTATTAAAACGTAGCTCGAAGTACTTAATAAAACTTTGTTCATAGTACTGCAAAAGTTACATTTTTGATGCACTGACAAAACATATCAACTGGCAGAAATTGTAGTTTAGATCATTAAAACCCAAAACAGTTGTCGGGCCTCTCTTTCACTAATTTGATGTGTGAAAGGAACGGATAGCTATACTACTTAATTAAGTTGACTAAAATCTTAATTTGTAACACCTTCAGTGATCGAACGATTTTTTGATATTATACGATAAATATATTTACATTGTAGTTTTGTTGTGAAATTATTCTGATGATATACTATTGCTATTTAAACCAACAGATTTTTAAGCACAGTAATGGCTAATAAGCGAGAAACTATTCATTACTATCATTACAGATTATATACATGAAAAACGAGGAAGTAAAGCATGATTACTAAATTGCTGTTATTTATTTCAATTTTGGTTGTTGTCATTGCAATTTTATTAACAACCGGAGCATTTGAACTTTTAACTGACTTGATACCCGGCTCATTATTATTCAAATCGACTTCATTGACATCAAATGAGAAACTTTTTACAAAAGACGAGTTATCAAAGTATACTGGCAAGGAATCGCCGTACGTATACCTAGCAATACTTGGTGATGTATTTGACGTTTCTAAAGGTAAAAGACATTATGGAGAAGGCGGAGGATATCACTTCTTCACAGGTGACATTGATTGAATGATTGCGTTTTACTGAAAATAAAATGTTTTAAAAACATTTTGAGTGAAAAAATTTTTTTATTAGTGTTTACAAAATAAGTGGGCGTGGTCATGTACATGTACATGTATACTATCCAAGGCACGCACCGACTGCCTGTGCACATACATGTATATGGTGCCAAATGATTCTGTTGAAGTCAGGGGAATTACTGAGGAAAAAGTAAATGTAGAGCTATGCCAGAAAAACTTTTTTTGTAACTTTGGAAAAGTAAAGGTAGGGCTATGCTCAAACTTATTTTATTATCTAATATATATGAAACTGCTGCATGTCAAATTATGCCCCCCTTCAATAGTTTTACTGTTGTAAATACAACTACAGTATGGTACTGTTGTGTTAAATATACATAAGTTATATAATTTTGTATATGTAACAGGAGAGTAAGTATATTAAAATTGCATGTATTTAGTTTGGAAATATTTTGCCAAAAGTGAATATCTAAAATCATGGAGGCTTGGTCTAATAAAAGTCTCAATTAAAATTAACACATTTCTTAATTTTAGGTAAAGATGGTACAAGGGCATATGTGTCTGGAGATTTTACAGAGAAAGGACTTATAGAAGATACAGAGGGTCTCTCACTTACTGATTATCTAGGAATAGAAGAATGGAATGAATTTTACAGAAAGCAGTATAAACATATAGGTAAATATAAAGTTATTTGTCATTTGTACAAGAACCTGAGAGCTATATAGATATAAACTTATACAGGTTTCATTATAGATAACATTATTTTGAATATTAATTAGATCTAATAAGTACTTGTAAGAAGTATGAGAATTATTATATATATTTCAGTTTATTATATTTATATTTCTTCTATTCCTTCTAATCTATGAGTATTTTTGTTTAACCAAAGTTGAAAATATATTGGTGAATGACATATTTATTTGACATTTTTATAGGTCGGTTAATTGGGCATTATTATGATGATAAAGGTCAACCAACAGAGGCATTGAAACAGTTTAACAAAAAACTACAAGAGGCAAAGAGAGCAAAATTGTCAGAAGAAGATGACAGGAAAATATTCCCACCTTGTAACTTTGAATATAAACAAGGGTGGGGTAGAAGGACATGGTGTTCAACATTGAGGTAATTTAATTATTTGTTTTCTTTAACCCTTTGCATGCTGGCAAAGAAAGAAAAAAAGAAAGAAAAAGAAAGAAAAAAGAAAAAGAAAGAAAGAAAAAAAAAAGAAAGATAGATAGAAAGATAGATAGAAAGAAAGGAAAAAAGAAAGAAAGAAAGAAAGAAAGAAAGAAAGAGAGAAAGAAAAGGGAATGAGTAATCAAACTCAGTATTTTAGATAGTTATGACATCACTTATAGTGTCATGTGACCACATGATGTTAAACATTTTTGTTTGGCATTGTCTTTTATATGCAAAAAAAACTCTTAATGAAATTTCTCTGTCAAGTGTCTGAAGGCATTACCAGAGGTGAAAGTAGATCATAATTTTGGATACATCATTCTGAAGTGAATGATTAATTGATTATTGATTACAGCATAAAGAGTACCCAAATAAATTCAGTGATTTCCATCTAAGTAGATTAGATTACTTCCCTTAATTGATTTTCTGTATGAATAATGTGTCTAGCCTCTAATTTTTGTATGTGTGGTCACACATAAACTTGGCTTGATTGATCCCTTAGACACTATAAAAATCTTCAAGCATTATTGACTCTTGTTTTATGTCCCTCAATTTTCTATCAAAGGATATAGAAGTGAAAACATGAAACATAAGTAATAGTATGATTATGATGAGATAGCTCATAGCTAGATGGGCATTGTAAAACTATCCTAGTTCTTACTTGATTTCTTGTTTAATCACATAACAATGCATATTTTACTACTCTGAATAAATGGTCGGGGCATGGCCATGCATATATTTTGACATGGCGTCACTAATATGTTATACAAACATAAGGTAAAAGAGCACTAAATGTTAGTATCATTATTATAGGCGTATTAATTAAAGATGATTGTTTAAACTGAAAAATGTTTCTGTTATAGGTATGTAATAAATTGAGTATTATTATATAATATATTCATGTAGGTTCATTGTTAAATTTATTGAACTTGATGAATGAATTAATATCACGCTTGCCAGAGGCTCTTATATTTTTTATTCAACTCATTCAATAAATTCAATATTGAACTAACACTTATTCAATATCCTCTATTTAGTTTTGATAAAAACATTTCATGATTTGATGAACATTTTGTTTTTAATTTTTAGCGGAGGAGTTAATAGAGACTGGGCAGGTGTACCTAGACGTTATTTTCAACCTGGTAAAACAGAACCACGTTGTGCATGTGTGAAGGACTTTGGGCCACCATCAGGATCTGATAACAATGTTAAACATAACAATAGAGGGGACTTGGACAATCCACTGATGAAAACATATGATGATTGTGATGAAAACTCCTTTGAGTGTTTCTTCAAAGAGTGATTATATAGCTTTATGCACCAGTCAGTTGTAATCCAAGGCTCCTGTCCTGCCGGGATAACAGGGACTTTAACTTTTTCATGACCAACCCTTCTGTAAAGACCACAATTGCGAGTGGGGGGAATGTGGGTGGGGGTTGGTGATGGTAAAATACCCATATGAATGTTAAACCTTTTGTATCATAACAAAACCACCAAATTGACCGCATATTTCTCAGGGTGACTGCAGGATTACACTTGACTGGTGTATTACAGAAAGGTTCATGTATTATGGAAATGGGTTGAGATATTTGGCAATGCTGGTGCTATGATTTAAAATTTGGCATTGCTTTATTTCTAAGAAGTGGACAGGGAATTTATTTTTATTTTTCTGAAGTAGTCTGAGATTGTTTAATCAAGAAATTACTTTAATTAAAGCAGTGATTTAATACCCAAAATTGTGTCTTCCATCTTTAGATATATTTGTATTCATGATATGATATTTTATTTAAATTTTTTGTTATGTGTGAAATGTATCTATATAGTTAATGTAATTATGAGATCTTTCTAAAATGAGTTTTAAAAGTACATGTATCAAAATTATCAACAAAATGTTTCTCAGGTGTGCATGATACATGTACAGTAGTCAATTTTCACATGCTGATAAAAATTGACATGGTGGTGGGTAAAATGTTGAAGTAGGAACTACAACTTTTGATGAACAAATTATGGCAGACTTGTTTAGGTATAATCTGAAAAGTTAAAGCTTTTATCATATTTCTATGCTCATGAACAAGATTTGTTTATAATTTCACAATTTATTTATGTCTTGGAATTCTTACAGTAAACAATTCTGTCTCACTGACATACCACCAGTTTAAAGTCAGGTTCTACACTGTTGGTTGCTTGACCCAAGACCTGCTGAATTTGTGAAATGCATTTTCCTTGCTTTGAATTTTAACTATGACCAGTCCATTAAAGGTTTAGGGATGTCAGTATTAAAACACAAAAAAGAGCTATCAACAGTATAGCTGGGCTCAATACTGATGGCAGTTACTAGTCACTGTAGGTTCCAGCAGGTAAATGATTAATTTTTTTTGCCATTTTGATATTAAATGACTCACAAAGGACGAGTCCAAGTTCAAAGCAAGACATTTTAATTATATAAATATAGCATACATGTTAAGAGATGAAGAACATTCTCAAGATCATATCTAAGACATTTCTTAACGTAATAAATGACTTTAAGAATTTTTTCAGAATTTTTTGTTGATTTGCTCTCATTTTCGCTTTTAGATTTTCTCAGGTATAATTATCTAAAGGATAGTTTGGCTTTCTCAGCTTATGTTTCAGCCAATCAAAATGGTGATTTGTGGAATCCAATGTTTACTTCTTTATGGTCACAGAAATAGATGCTAATTTTTTCACTGGATTTTTTTTTTTTGTTGTGGACATAAATGTCTGTTTCTCAGACTACAATTTTATTCATACTTCCACTATGTTACCTATTCAGATATTTAATTAAGGTCCTAAATTAAATTTCTGTTTTTTTATATCAAGTTTGCCTACTTATTTGTAAAATGTTGTGATTTTCTAATTGTTTTATATGAGTTTTTTTTATGCATTTTTGGAAAATTGCTTATTAATAAGTAAAATTAGTAAAAATAACAAAAATGTGCTTTTTTTTCTTATATATAAACTTTCTTGTTAACAGAGAAATACTCTACCATTTTATGTTTTATATGCCTGAAAGGATTATTATATGTTACATGCTCTTGTTGTCCAGCTGTCTGTTAGAATTCAGTGTGTGCACTTTATCTTTTGAATCCAATTAAGCATTTTAATTCATATTACTTGAGTTAAATGTTTAAAACAACATCATGCTCAATGTTAAGAGTTGGAACTAGCAACTTTGTGTTTGTTCTATATATATTAAACAACTTGAGGATGCCAAACCAATATGAATCCAGTACGTTCTAATAATACTTAAGTTACATGTAGATATTAGAGTGGTAAAAATCTGGAGAAAGGGTGATCTCTCTGAGGCAAGGAAAACAAAAGATTACATGAAAATTGCAGTCAGTATGATTGTGTATGTGGTAATAGAAAAGTACAATAGCGAAATTATGTATTCATATGTAACAGGCGGTATTGGTCCATTAAATTGTCATGGGCACGAATATTACATGAATATGTTATCTAACCAAAGAAGGAAAGTGCATTTGCAGAGCTGTTTCAAGTGTTAACACAGTATTACAAATGGGGGATAATCCTTACACATTATTGGGTATGTCTAGGAAACCCTGTTTACTCTCCCTTCGCAAATCGCGCTTTGTGGAAATCTGAAAAATATAATTGTTTATATGAAGACTTTGTTCTTCATGAAATATGCTACTGCCCCTAGAATTTAGACACTCGTAAGAAAATATGGGCAGCTGTAATTAAAAAATCTTGTTTCTAATCCGTCGGGTAAGAGTATTGTTTTGCTTGGCTTACCTCAAGAAACGCAGGAAATTCTTTTAAATATTTTAAGCTCGTTAAGCTTGTGTGTGAAATGTTTTAACCGGAATACAGACATGTACATGAACCATGCAGTTTGTAGTTTAATGTATATAACTGTTAGTATTGAATTATATTATTGACCTTTATTTATATTATTGCATGTTGTTATAAGAATAGCCTTCTCTATTGTTTTCTTATCATGGCTTATTTGTAAATAGGTACATGTGTTGATAAGATTACTTATTCAGTAAGAATGTAAATTACGTAGAGTGTAAATGATTTCGTATTACTCTGCCTTCTTTAAAGACATTGAATCACGGTCACGAGTAGCTATCTATTTGATCATTTATGTGTTCTATATTTATATCACCTTCTGTTATCATGACAATTTTTTTT